GAAAGTGACCCATAATGGTAGTGGGGGCAGAGACAAAATAGAGGGTCTGGGAAAGGGGAAAAAGAGACACACAAAGGAGCTGTGGGACAAAGAGTCACATAGAGGTTCTGGGGGGACAAATATACACACAGAGGGCCTGGGGGGGGGACAGAGACATCTAAAGGGGCAGGGGGAGAAAGAGACACACAAAGCGGCTGGGGGGGAGGGGCAAAAGAGACACACAAACGGCTGGAAGAATAAAGAGACTTACACAGTTGGTTGATATTTGTTTTGGGTGGGGTGCAAGTACCTGGTCTTGTCTATGGCGCAAAATAGGCTCTCACTGGCCCTGCTTTTTCTCCAATGCAAGGTGTCCCCTCACTATCTGAAATGGAATGTACTGTTAATTGGTAAAAAAAAAAAATAGAGCATTGCATGAATAAAAGGTTAGCACAAGTTATAGTTTTTAAAAATAATTTATTCAGTGTACAGAGTGGAGTTAGTTCCCCTTTAATTTATCGGAGTGAGGGTCTCATAATAGAAATTATTGATTAATTCCACAATAGGAACAGAAATATTCTACTGAACACAGATCAGCACATTCAAGAATACTGTTGACAAAACTACATATAATTTTTAAATGTTTTGAGCCACGCCCTTTATTATTTCTGTTCTGCAATACATATGTACGCTTCAGGAACATAACAAATTATTCAGTAACGCTTTAATTACCTCCTAGAAGTATTACAAATCATGTGCCGGTCTGCCTCCAGTGTATCTTAAAGGAACACTCCAAGCACCATAACTATTACAGCTCAATGTTTTTCTATTATTTCATTTCTCACCTGGGGCCGGTAAGGCGCCGCTCCGCACCTCCACTACAAATGCCAGAGAGCTGACTGCAGAGCACAGCTCAAGAGACCTAACTGAAGTTCAGAGAGCACTAGGGATGTGCATGGGCAAAACATTTGGTTCGGCACTTCAGAAATTCGGAACTTTGGCAATTCGGGATTTTGGCAATTCAGCAATTTGGTTCGGTACTTCCGAAATTCGTCACTTTGGTTATTTGGAAATTCGGCACTTCGGAAGCATCCGAATGTCCAATTTGCCGAAATTCGTCTGAATTTAAATCCAGACCGAAACAAATTGCACATGTCAAATGCCCACCTTAAACCTATTCTATAGTATATACAGTAAATTAACTATTATTGGCAGCAGTGAACTATTTATGGTTCTTAGAGGCACCATGCTTGCCTGGAGATCACTTTTTCCTAATGATTTCCTGTCATATGTAGTTGTCTCCCATTCCCCATAGCTGTGACAGTGTCTACCATTCCCTATGGCTGGCTGTGACAGAGTCTCAGCTCCCTGTGGCTGTGACAGTGTCCCCCATTCCCCATGGCTGTGACAGTGTCTCCCATGGCTATGACAGTGTTCCCCATTCCCCATGGCTGTGACAGTGTCTCCCATGGCTGTTACAGTGTCTCCCATTCCCATTACCCATGGCTGGCTATGACAATGTCCCCCATTCCCCATGGCTGTGACAGTGTCTCCCATTCCCTATGGCTGTGACAGTGTCTCCCATTCCCCATGGCTGTGACAGTGTCTCCCTATGGCTGTGACATTGTCTCCCATTCCCCATGACTGGCTGTGACAATGTCTCCCTTTCCCCAAGGCTGGTTGTGACAGTGTCTCCCATTTACATTACCCATGGCTGGCTGTGACAGTGTCCCCCATTCTCCATGACTGGGACAATTTCTCCCATTCCCTATGGCTGTGACAGTGTCTCCCTATGGTTGTGACAGTGTCTCCCATTGATGGCTGTGAAAATGTCCCACATTGATGGCCGTGACAGAGTCTCCCATTGGCTGTGACAGTGTCTCCCATTGATGGCCGTGACAGTGTCTCCCCATTGATGGCCGTGACAGTGTCTCCCATTGATGGCTGTGACAGTGTCTCCCATTGATGGCTGTGACAGTGTCTCCCTATAGCTGTGACAGTGTCTCCCATTGATGGCTGTGAAAATGTCCCACATTGATGGCTGTGACAGAGTCTCCCATTGGCTGTGACAGTGTCCCCCATTGATGGCTGTGACAGTGTCTCCCATTGATGGCTGTGACAGTGTCTCCCCATTGATGGCTGTGACAGTGTCTACCATTGATGGCTGTGACAGTGTCTCCCCATTGATGGCTGTGACAGTATCTCCCATTGATGACTGTGACAGTGTCTCCCATTGATGGCAGTGACAGTGTCTCCCATTAATGGCTGTGACAGTGTCTCCCATTGACGGCTGTGACAGTGTTCCCCATTGATGGCTGTGACAGTGTCTCCCATTGATGCTGTGACAGTTTCTCCCATTGATGGCTGTGACAGTGTCCCCCATTGATGGCTGTGACAGTGTCTCCCCATTGATGGCTGTGACAGTTTCCCCCATTGATGGCTGTGACAGTGTCTCCCATTGATGGCTGTGACAGTTTCCCCCATTGATGGCTGTGACAGTGTCTCCCAGGGATGGCAGTGACAGTGTCTCCCATTGATGGCTGTGACAGTGTCTCCCATATGGCTGTGACAGTGTCTCCCATTGATGGCTGTGACAGTGTCTCCCATTGATGGCTGTGACAGTTTCCCCCATTGATGGCTGTGACAGTTTCTCCCATTGATGGCAGTGACAGTGTCTCCCAGGGATGGCAGTGACAGTGTCTCCCAGGGATGGCTGTGACAGTTTCTCCCATTGATGGCTGTGACAGTTTCTCCCATTGATGGCAGTGACAGTTTCCCCCATTGATGGCTGTGACAGTGTCTCCAATTGATGGCAGTGACAGTGTCCCCCATTGATGGCTGTGACAGTTTCCCCCATTGATGGCTGTGACAGTTTCTCCCATTGATGGCTGTGACAGTTTCTTTTAAAAAAAAATGATGGAAACAGCTATGTCCATCGGACAAGTTGTCATCATCAACTGTGGCTGAGGGACATTGCTAAAAGCCAAATAACAAGAGTTTGTAGAAATTGTTCCAATACCCAAGATTTTGAAATCCAGGCAAAATATATAAAAAATAAATTGGTAAATAAAGGCTATAATAAGAACACGATTGAAAAGGAAATTAGAACACTCAAGAAAAGAGATAGAAGGGAATTACTAACTAATCATCCAAAAAGCGAACCAAATGAACAATTTAAATATTCATTCATAACAAAATATAATACTGACCATTGGAAAATTAATAGGTGTCTTAGAAAACACTGGCCAATATTACTCCAAGATCCAGTTCTTGGAAGTATTTTACCCCATCGACCATGTATTATTTATAAGAAATGCCAGAATTTGAAGGATTTGGTGGCTCCGAGTTATCCTAGAAAAGATATCCCCAAAATGAAGGCTATTATATATAATACTCCTAAAGGATTCAAAGGATGTCAAATGTGTCGTGCGTGCTCAAGGATGAATTTAGGTTCAGCTCTCCAGTTTATAAGTCACACTACTGGAGTTGCCTTCCCGATATAATCTAATATTGGATGCCACACGGACTTTGTAATTTATTTATTGCGGTGTCCGTGTGGCAAACAATATGTAGGAAAGACAAAAAGACTTTTAAAAGTATGCCTTATGGAGCACATTAATAACATAAGAAAGGGCATTACGACTCATTCAGTGCCAGTGCACTGTAATACATGCCCGGCCTTTAATTGGAGGGACTTCAAAGGTTGTGGTATAGAACATGTATCCTCCCATTGGAGAGGAGGCAATAGGGAATTAAAATTAGCATAACGTGAGACCTATTGGATTTATAAATTGGATACTTTAGAACCAAAGGGATTAAATATAGATGTTGATTTGGCCAGTTTTATGGTATATAAAATAAATTTTTTAAACTATTTATATATAGATGCATTTTTTTTGAGGGGGATTTCCATTTTTTGTCAAGGTGGTCTATGTATATATTTTTATTATTTTTTTACTATATTTAATTTTTCATTTTTATCTTTATTTTTACATTTATATTTATTTTTAATTTTTATTTATTTTTTTATTATTTTTTATTTATTTTTTATTATTATTCATTATTTTATTTATTATTTTTTCTATAATTATTTTTTCTATATTTTTATTTTCATTCATTTTTTTATTTTTTATTTTTATCTATTCATATTTTTTTATTATTGAGATATAAAATTTTATATTTTTTACATTTTTCGTAGGTATTTTGATCACACTTGGCAAAGGATTGAATTCTTACTGTATTGCTAGCTGTTATTTTCTATTGTATTATATGTGTTTCAGTTTCTAGTATGAAAGCAAATCTCTGATTATGATATCATTTTAAGATTATTTCTAGCTTGCCAAGCTGTAAGACTGTTTCGTTATTTGGAACGCATATATTTGAACTCTATTATGATGATCAGCTGGAAAGAATGTTCCCTCATCGAAAAGAGAGGAGGTTTTCGGGCGTTTCTATGAGAGTTTTCTCCAATCAACACACGGACTGGTTCTATTTAAAGGGGTTTTGTTGGGTGTGGGAATTATGCATGCTTTGTTTTTTTGCATTACTGCTTATACTGTGTTACTATCTCTGAGGAAGTCCACTATATGTGGACGAAACGCGTTAGATTGCAGTTAAGTTTTATTCATTTTTTATTTTTTACTAAGGCCTTGTATTGCCTCAATAAAAATATTTTTATATTTGAATTGGTGTATTCCCACTTCATTGGAAGACAGAAGTCCCCATCCGTGGAAGGTGAATGCTTCTCTAGCCCCATTGTGGGCTTAAAGGCGCATTACTCTACACTATTTCGTAAGTGCAATCACTGGGGGTTAAATCCAATTGCAATTACTGTACTTCACTATGTGTTATGTATTGTCTTGTTTTTTAGTTATTCCGCTGTATTCCATCTTTGTTTACCTGCATATTTGTATTTGAGGTCCGTTTGGGGGAAACCTCTTGGGAAGCTGTATCTATTTCACACCACAGTTAAGTACTTTTGCCTATTTCTATCATTTGGTGGGTTAGGTGTATTTGTATTTTTATTGTGTTTTTTCTTTTCTATTTTTTATATATTTTCTCCCATTGATGGTTGTGACAGTTTCCCCCATTGATGGCTGTGACAGTTTCCCCCATTGATGGCTGTGACAGTTTCTCCCATTGATGGCTGTGACAGTGTCTCCCACTGATGGCTGTGACAGTGTCTCCCATTGTTGGCTGTGACAGTTTCTCCCATTGATGGCTGTGACAGTTTCCCCCATTGATGCCTGTGAAAGTTTCCCCCATTGATGGCTGTGACAGTGTCTCCCATTGATGGCTGTGACAGTTTCCCCCATTGATGGCTGTGACAGTGTCTCCCATTGATGGATGTGACAGTTTCTCCAATTGATGGCTGTGACAGTTTCCCCCATTGATGGCTGTGACAGTTTCTCCCATTGATGGCTGTGACAGTGTCTCCCAGGGATGGCTGTGACAGTTTCTCCCATTGATGGCTGTGACAGTTTCCCACATTGATGGCTGTGACAGGTTCCCCCATTGATGGCTGTGACAGTTTCTCCCATTGATGGCTGTGACAGTGTCTCCCATTGATGGCTGTGACAGTTTCTCCCATTGATGGCTGTGACAGTTTCCCCCATTGATGGCTGTGACAGGTTCCCCCATTGATGGCTGTGAAAGTTTCCCCCATTGATGGCTGTGACAGTGTCTCCCATTGATGGCTGATGGCTGTGAGTGTCCCCATTGATGGCTGTGACAGTGTCTCCCATTGATGGCTGTGACATTGATGGCTGTGACAGGTTCCCCATTGATGGCATTGATGGCTGTGACAGTGTCTCCCATTGATGGCTGTGACAGTTCCCCCATTGATGGCTGTGATGTCTCCCATTGATGGATGTGACAGTTTCTCCCATTGATGGCTGTGACAGTTTCCCTGTGACCATTGATGATGGCTGTGACAGTTTCCCCCATTGATGGCTGTGACAGTTTCTCCCATTGATGGCTGTGACAGTTTCTCCCATTGATGGCTGTGACAGTTTCCCCCATTGATGGCTGTGACAGTTTCCCCCATTGATGGCTGTGACAGTGTCTCCCATTGATGGCTGTGACAGTTCTCCCATTGATGGCTGTGACAGTTTCTCCCATTGATGGCTGTGACAGTGTCTCCCATTGATGGCTGTGACAGTTTCTCCCATTGATGGCTGTGACAGTTTCCCCCATTGATGGCTGTGACAGTTTCTCCCATTGATGGCTGTGACAGTTTCCCCCATTGATGGCTGTGACAGTTTCCCCCATTGATGGCTGTGACAGTTTCTCCCATTGATGGCTGTGACAGTGTCTCCCATTGATGGATGTGTCAGTGTCTCCCATTGATGGCTGTGACAGTTTCTCCCATTGATGGATGTGACAGTTTCCCCCATTGATGGCTGTGACAGTTTCCCCCATTGATGGCTGTGACAGTGTCTCCCATTGATGGCTGTGACAGTGTCCCCATTGATGGCTGTGACAGTTTCCCCCATTGATGGCTGTGACAGTTCCCCCATTGATGGCTGTGACAGTTTCTCCCATTGATGGCTGTGACAGTTTCTCCCATTGATGGCTGTGACAGTTTCTCCCATTGATGGCTGTGACAGTTTCCCCCATTGATGGCTGTGACAGTGTCTCCCATTGATGGCTGTGACAGTTTCTCCCATTGATGGCTGTGACAGTGTTCCCCCATTGATGGCTGTGACAGTGTCCCCCATTGATGGCTGTGACAGTGTCTCCCATTGATGGCTGTGACAGTGTCCCCCATTGATGGCTGTGACAGTTTCTCCCATTGATGGCTGTGACAGTTTCTCCCATTGATGGCTGTGACAGTGTCTCCCATTGATGGCTGTGACAGTGTCCCCCATTGATGGCTGTGACAGTGTCTCCCATTGATGGATGTGACAGTTTCTCCCATTGATGGCTGTGACAGTTTCCCCCATTGATGGCTGTGACAGTTTCTCCCATTGATGGCTGTGACAGTGTCTCCCATGGATGGCTGTGACAGTTTCTCCCATTGATGGCTGTGACAGTTTCCCCCATTGATGGCTGTGACAGGTTCCCCCATTGATGGCTGTGAAAGTTTCCCCCATTGATGGCTGTGACAGTGTCTCCCATTGATGGCTGTGACAGTTTCCCCCATTGATGGCTGTGACAGTGTCTCCCATTGATGGATGTGACAGTTTCTCCCATTGATGGCTGTGACAGTTTCCCCCATTGATGGCTGTGACAGGTTCCCCCATTGATGGCTGTGAAAGTTTCCCCCATTGATGGCTGTGACAGTGTCTCCCATTGATGGCTGTGACAGTTTCCCCCATTGATGGCTGTGACAGTGTCTCCCATTGATGGATGTGACAGTTTCTCCCATTGATGGCTGTGACAGTTTCCCCCATTGATGGCTGTGACAGTTTCCCCCATTGATGGCTGTGACAGTTTCTCCCATTGATGGCTGTGACAGTGTCTCCCATTGATGGATGTGTCAGTGTCTCCCATTGATGGCTGTGACAGTTTCTCCCATTGATGGATGTGACAGTTTCCCCCATTGATGGCTGTGACAGTTTCCCCCATTGATGGCTGTGACAGTGTCTCCCATTGATGGCTGTGACAGTTTCTCCCATTGATGGCTGTGACAGTTTCCCCCATTGATGGCTGTGACAGTTTCTCCCATTGATGGCTGTGACAGTTTCTCCCATTGATGGCTGTGACAGTTTCCCCCATTGATGGCTGTGACAGTTTCTCCCATTGATGGCTGTGACAGTTTCTCCCATTGATGGCTGTGACAGTTTCTCCCATTGATGGCTGTGACAGTTTCTCCCATTGATGGCTGTGACAGTTTCTCCCATTGATGGCTGTGACAGTTTCCCCCATTGATGGCTGTGACAGTGTCTCCCATTGATGGCTGTGACAGTTTCTCCCATTGATGGCTGTGACAGTTTCCCCCATTGATGGCTGTGACAGTGTCCCCCATTGATGGCTGTGACAGTTTCTCCCATTGATGGCTGTGACAGTTTCCCCCATTGATGGCTGTGACAGTTTCTCCCATTGATGGCAGTGACAGTTTCCCCCATTGATGGCTGTGACAGTTTCTCCCATTGATGGCTGTGACAGTTTCTCCCATTGATGGCTGTGACAGTTTCCCCCATTGATGGCTGTGACAGTTTCTCCCATTGATGGCTGTGACAGTTTCCCCCATTGATGGCTGTGACAGTTTCCCCCATTGATGGCTGTGACAGTGTCTCCCATTGATGGCTGTGACAGTTTCCCCCATTGATGGCTGTGACAGTGTCTCCCATTGATGGCTGTGACAGTGTCTCCCTATAGCTGTGACAGTGTCTCCCATTGATGGCTGTGAAAATGTCCCACATTGATGGCTGTGACAGAGTCTCCCATTGGCTGTGACAGTGTCCCCCATTGATGGCTGTGACAGTGTCTCCCATTGATGGCTGTGACAGTGTCTCCCCATTGATGGCTGTGACAGTGTCTACCATTGATGGCTGTGACAGTGTCTCCCCATTGATGGCTGTGACAGTATCTCCCATTGATGACTGTGACAGTGTCTCCCATTGATGGCAGTGACAGTGTCTCCCATTAATGGCTGTGACAGTGTCTCCCATTGACGGCTGTGACAGTGTTCCCCATTGATGGCTGTGACAGTGTCTCCCATTGATAGCTGTGACAGTTTCTCCCATTGATGGCTGTGACAGTGTCCCCCATTGTTGGCTGTGACAGTGTCTCCCCATTGATGGCTGTGACAGTTTCTCCAATTGATGTATTGCATTATGTCCCCATTGATGGAAGGTGACAGGTTCCCATTGATGGCTGTGACAAGCTCCCATTGATACGTGACAGTTTCCATTGATGGCTGTGACAGTTTCCCATTGATGGCTGTGACAGTGTCTCCCATTGATGGCTGTGACAGTGTCCCCATTGATGGCTGTGACAGTTTCCATTGATGGCTGTGACAGTTTTCCCATTGATGACTGTGACAGTTTCCATTGATGGCTGTGACAGTTTCTCCCATTGATGGCTGTGACAGTTTTCTCCCATTGATGGCTGTGACAGTTTCCCCATTGATGGCTGTGACAGTTTCCCATATTGATGGCTGTGACAGTGTCTCCCATTGATGGCTGTGACAGTTTCTCCCATTGATGGCTGTGACAGTTTCCCCCATTGATGGCTGTGACAGTTTCCCCCATTGATGGCTGTGACAGTGTCTCCCATTGATGGCTGTGACAGTTTCCCCCATTGATGGCTGTGACAGTGTCTCCCATTGATGGCTGTGACAGTTTCCCCCATTGATGGCTGTGACAGTGTCTCCCATTGATGGCTGTGACAGTTTCCCCCATTGATGGCTGTGACAGTGTCTCCCATTGATGGCTGTGACAGTGTCTCCCATTGATGGCTGTGACAGTTTCTCCCATTGATGGCTGTGACAGTGTCTCCCATTGATGGCTGTGACAGTTTCTCCCATTGATGGCTGTGACAGTTTCCCCCATTGATGGCTGTGACAGTGTCTCCCATTGATGGCTGTGACAGTTTCTCCCATTGATGGCTGTGACAGTGTCCCCCATTGATGGCTGTGACAGTGTCCCCCATTGATGGCTGTGACAGTGTCTCCCATTGATGGCTGTGACAGTGTCCCCCATTGATGGCTGTGACAGTTTCTCCCATTGATGGCTGTGACAGTTTCTCCCATTGATGGCTGTGACAGTGTCTCCCATTGATGGATGTGTCAGTTTCTCCCATTGATGGCTGTGACAGTTTCTCCCATTGATGGATGTGACAGTTTCCCCCATTGATGGCTGTGACAGTTTCCCCCATTGATGGCTGTGACAGTGTCTCCCATTGATGGCTGTGACAGTGTCCCCCATTGATGGCTGTGACAGTTTCTCCCATTGATGGCTGTGACAGTTTCTCCCATTGATGGCTGTGACAGTTTCCCCCATTGATGGCTGTGACAGTTTCTCCCATTGATGGCTGTGACAGTTTCTCCCATTGATGGCTGTGACAGTTTCCCCCATTGATGGCTGTGACAGTGTCCCCCATTGATGGCTGTGACAGTTTCTCCCATTGATGGCTGTGACAGTTTCCCCCATTGATGGCTGTGACAGTGTCTCCCATTGATGGCTGTGACAGTTTCTCCCATTGATGGCTGTGACAGTTTCTCCCATTGATGGCTGTGACAGTGTCTCCCATTGATGGCTGTGACAGTTTCTCCCATTGATGGCTGTGACAGTTTCCCCCATTGATGGCTGTGACAGTTTCTCCCATTGATGGCTGTGACAGTTTCCCACATTGATGGCTGTGACAGTTTCCCACATTGATGGCTGTGACAGTTTCTCCCATTGATGGCTGTGACAGTGTCCCCCATTGATGGCTGTGACAGTTTCCCACATTGATGGCTGTGACAGTTTCTCCCATTGATGGCTGTGACAGTTTCCCACATTGATGGCTGTGACAGTTTCCCCCATTGATGGCTGTGACAGTGTCTCCCATTGATGACTGTGACAGTTTCCCCCATTGATGGCTGTGACAGTTTCCCCCATTGATGGCTGTGATAGGGTGAGCAGATAGAGGAATGGGGGCGGGGTTACAGGGAGGTGACGTCAGAGGGTCGAGGCCAAAAGGAAGTTCCTGAAGGAAAAAGAACGGGATCCCAGTGAATGGGCGGAGACTATAACGGGACACGGGGCGTGGCCTGACACAGAGCATCCAATAAGGTAGAGAGAAGGCGGGGCTTGATGAAAGAAAGCGCTGGACTTTGGCCGGTGGGCGGGGCCTGAGAGGGAGCGAGCGCGGAGAGGCTGAGGTGGAGCTGGACGGGTCAGTGAGAGCTGCGGGAGCGCGCGCAGTGTCAGCCTCGGCAGCGGGGGCGCGCACAGTGCGGTCTGTGCCGGGGAGCGAGAGCGCGCACAGTGCCCAGTCAGGGTGAGGAGCGGGAGCGCGGCGGGCCCGGTGTGTGTCGGGAGTGCGCGGTTCCGGTGGAGGAGGCGGTTGCTGTCGGGGATCCTCGGGAGTCCATAGCGGCCAGTGAGGTGAGAACCGGGGGATCGGCCGCTCTGCATGCTGGGAAATGGGGGAGACCGGAGGGGAGACTGAGTGCACCTCATGTTATAATAACCCCCTTACTG